CACTGTCAATTGGAAATCAATCCATAATAAAGATGACACTTCTGAAATTATAGTGTAAGCCAGTGGGGGAATATATGATTCAGTTTTCAAAAATGTGCTTCATGTACAAATGTCAAAAAATTCATCCATTATATAAAATGGGGTCTAGTTTTAGCCATATGAAACATAATTCAAAAACAAAAACTACACACAATCCTATATCTCTGGGTTAGCAAAGAAGGGGAAACAAAAATGAGCCATTTCTGAGGGGCTAGATGATGTTAGTTGATAAATTTACTAGGAGCCTAGAGGAAACTAAAGTTGCTGCCCTCTGACTGGAACATTCAAGTTTATCATTTATGTGTAACATAAAAGGGCAATTTAGATGTTAAAATTTAATCAACATGAAACATTAATACCTTAGGTTGAAACAGAGGATGGCACAATAATGGCATTAGAAAGGGTGAAAATAGCACCATTACTCTCATTGACATCATCAATGTGTTTGCTTCAGTGAACTGTACCCTCCAAAATGGAAAAACAAAAAAGCAATTTGTAAGGAAGGTATCATCAATACTTAGCTTTCTTCTTGCCCAACTGTAGAATGACCTATATTCTACAAAGGATACAAAATCATGTCTAACCAAAATATAGATTTTTTTAGATTTAAAACAGCAACATTTAGTAGATTTCCTATATCTTTTTTTATTTTATTTTATTTTTTTAATGTTTATTGTTGAGAGAGACAGAACGTGAGCAGGACAGCGGCAGAGATAGAGGGAGACACAGAATCGGAAGCAGGTTCCAGGCTCAGAGCTGTCAGCACAGAGCCCGACATGGGACTCGAACTCACGAACTGCGAGATCATGACCTGAGCTGAAGTCAGACTGAGCCACCCAGGCATCCCTCCTATATCTTTTTTTAGTTAATGTCATTGCAGTAGGTGAATTTGAAAGTTCTTCATTACCACATGAAAAGATGAAGCATTACTTTTTTTAGGGACCACTAACTAGTATTTAACATTCATTAAACAAATATTCATTTGGCCATCTATCTAGAAATCATTATGTACTATGTGTCAGGCATATAGTTTTGCATGTATATATTGATGTGCAGACCTATTTAATATAGGTGGGTTTTGGAATGGGAACCAGAAGACCTAGCTTCTGAGGTACTACTCTATTCCCTGGCTCTCTCAAGTACCATTTCTGCAGTGGTGACATTTATAGCTCTAGTCCTAACCTCTCTCATGAGCTCCAGATCCATATTTCAAACTACTAACCAGACATTTACATCTAGAAATCCCACAGGTACTTCAAATTCCACAAGGTCAAACTGCAACAGCCCTGTATGTATGTATGTACTCTTATGTCCCACACACTCACAATGTACTTTCAAACCAGTATTAGCACTCTGTTTCCACTCTTATTTTGCTTTCCAGACCCAGCTCAAGCAATGTCTCTTCTGGGAGCTATCCATGGACCTTCCCAGGCAGAGCCATTTGCTATTTCCTCCATATTCTCATTATGCTTAGTATAACCTTTATATTGTATTTACCGTTTTTGGTCACTAGTGAATTTTTATAATAAATGAATTAGATGTCTTTCTCCTCTGCTACGCCATACCTTTAGGGCATATGTCCTACATTGTCGTTGTTATCTCATTTGGTTTTTGATTGAATTAACTTGAAAACACTCAAGTAAAATGATGCTTTTACAAGGAAACTCTGTTTCAGCAGGTTTGAGACTTGAGCAACTCTCAGTTTTCAAACATGTGCAAATGACTGTGATATGCTCCAGTATCTGAAAATCAGTGAATTAACCAAGTTTCTACACAAAGATTATCACTACATAATACTTACAATTAACTCTTGAGGTTTAAGGAAATACACAATCTCATATAATCAACCCCCTTATCTAAGGGGGATACATTCCAAGACCTGCAGTAGATGCCTGAAACCACAGATAGTATTGAACGCTATATGTTTTTTTCTATACGTACCTATTACAAAATTTAACTTATAAATTAATTACAGTAAGAGATTAACAATGAATAATAAAACAGAACAATTATAAAGTATAATGTAATAAAATTATATGAATATGCTCTCTCTCAAAATATCTTACTATGCTGTACTCATCTTTCTCCTTCCTGTGTGTGACATGAGATGATAAAATCCCTACGTGATGAGATGAAGTGAGGTGGATGATGTAGGCATTGTGATGTAGCATTAGGCTACCAGTGACCTTCTGACACTAAGTCAGAAGGAGGATCATCTGCTTCCTGACTGTGGTTGAGGGTAACTGAAATCAAAGAAAGCAAAACCTCAGATAAGAGGGGATACTGTATTGGGTTAAATATCTGTTTTTATAATGATTTCTGGTAATGAGAACAATTTCCTGAGTGGTGCATCAAATCATCCATTTTGAGTTTCAACCTGTACACATTTAAAACATCCTGGATATTAATTAGGATGAATATTTATTGCCACGAAAAGATGGAATCATTAACTGAAAAAAGATTACAAACCAAACTATACAAAATATTCTTGTTTTGGTAGTGACAGCATAGATGGGTACATTTACGTAAATGTACATTACGTAAATGGGTACATTACGTAAAATAAAAAAATCTGGAAAGTTATACACAGAGTTGTTAAACAGTAGTAATCTCTGGCTGATGGAAATGAGGGTTTTTTGTTTTCTTATATTGCTTTTTTATATGTCCCACTTTCCACAATGCACATAAAAATGTCCTTGTAAAACTGTAATAATTAAGTAAAAAGTACACATACCTTTAACAGAATTAGTAAGGATCTACAGAGGAAAATAACTAGAGTCAATAGAGTGTTTATCTATATTAGGCAGCATATTAGATTCTGGGGATTGAACAATTAGTAATATAAGGTCAGGTTTAGAGAAGTTAAGCAACATACCCATGGTTATTCAGTAAGAAAATAATAGACCTGGGATTCAAACCCAGGTTTTTGTGATTCTAAAATATTTATTCCATTTCATCTTGCTGGCCCAGATCCAATATCAGTCCTCTATGCAACTGTTAAGTAATCAAAATTTCTGCTACCCTACCCACATTATTCCATGCTGTGAATTGCTATGATCACTACCATGGGGTCTGTTTCGAGATATTCTTCATCTATCAACCTAATCCTTATTACAGTTGCAAATATTGTGGTCAACTAATCTGATACAATAATTGATGCTAATAAATCATTGTATTAGTCATTACTCTGGACCTCCCAGTGCCATGTACGCGTAGCTTATGTGCTAGGTGTTGGGATGACAGAGTTCACATTTGAACTGGGGTACGGAGGGGATAGTGAGATACTCACATAGTTAACTGCATTACAATCTGATAACTGCTCTATTAAGATAATAAAACATTCACTACGGGAGCATGACAAAGTTGAATGCATACTACTCTGGGATGTCACAGTTTAAAAGAAAAAAAAAAGAGGAAGGGCCTATGAAGCAAAGAGCATTGCCTATGCAAAACAACACCTAGCAGTTAAAGACCCTTTCTTCCTAAAGATTAGCCTGTTTCATGGCAACCTCCTGTGATCACATTGCCATTTTGCTGATGCCATACTCCAAAGCTAGGTATTTTGGGGTTTACAGCAGGCCAGTAGTAGGAAATAGTTTTAGGCAGCCCTATCAGTAGATCTTAAAATAACATCTCTTAAAGCAAACACTAGTGGCCTATGCGGACTTTCTTTCACATTAGTACATGTCTTTCTCACTGAACTGCATCACTAAGCAGCTCACATAGTGACAAGTTTAATGTAGCTGGGTTACCTAAGACTTGCAGAGATTAGGAAGCTGTCACATCTGGGAGGGCTTTGTGAATTATTTTGTAAAATCACTCTAAATTAGTAATTCATGGAAAAATTTTGACAACTTGTTTGACACTGAGTACAGCTGGAAAAAAAATCAAAATCTGGAGAATGCAATTTTGTTTATCATTAGTGCTAAAGCATATTTAACAGACTAATTTTTTTTCCGGAGTACTCATCTCAATTTATTTCACTGGATAACCTTTGTTAGTCAATTCTTTCTTCCCCCTTCAAAAAAATGAGAAATAACTTATCCAAAGAGTTAATAAAGAACATAAATTTTCAAGTCAGTAATACATTGGGGAGGAATATGTCATTTGTAGTTAGATAAATGGAACTAATATTTTTAACACATAAATATAAAAACCTATAATACAAAGGTTTTCAGACAATCACAATAGGTAATTTGTACATAAAAATATGTATCCCTTGTTTAAGTGAACTACATTTGTGGGTTTCCTGGAGTACTGGCATCATTACTTTTTCAATTATTTCACTCATAAGCTACACAATTAATTGTACTTGTGTAGATCACTTTGTCCCTGAAGTAGGAAATACTTCAAAATAATTTAACTTCTACATAATATAAATACGTACATAATTAGGCTATTTAGTGTTTTTAAAAGGCAAGTTATGATTCAGCATCAAAAAAAATATATTCTAATTTATGAGAAAGTTAAGTGTGAGTCAGTGATGAATTTAAGGGACAAGCCTAGGAACAAATCAGAGATGTTCCTTCTTTTTTTCTTTAAAACCCCACCTCATGTAAAAGTGTCATTTCTTCTGAAAATGTTCTTCCAATGTCCCCAAATAATGACCAAATACTATAAAAATCCCCTAAAACCCACAAGACAGTAAATACTTTGGTGAAGTTGTTAGGTAACATTTAAAGAAGTTTTCAGCAAATAACTATTTTTGGGTAAGAAGACAAATCCTAAAAAAAAAAAAAAAATCCCTCAAAGTTAATTTCTGGAAAAAAAACCACAACAGAATGCTTTGAAGAAAACTTCAAATCTAAGTATTTGCAAGTGAAAATATTAAATTCCAGCAATATTGAAAATTTATCCCATATGAAGAAGTTTATGAACAGATAAGCACCAGGGCCTGAATGGGAAATGAATTAGGGCAAAGAAAAAAGGGAGGGGGGAGGACAAAATAGGATTCCATACTATTTAAGAATAAACTTTTATTTATTTGTTTGTGCATTTATTTTTCACAGCCTTGAACTTTAAGTCTCCAGAGGCAAATATGTTCATTTAGTAAATATTTACTAATTGCCTATGATTTGCTACACATTACTGGAGAAATGAGAGAATATAAAGATGACAATTAGATTCTCTGCTCTCAAAACAGTTACGACTGAGTTAGAGACACATACGTGTACACAAATACAATTTATTGCTATATAACAACAATTATATAAACCTGTTAAGACAATCTCTGTAAATAAAATCGCATTTTTTTCTGTATTTCTTAATTCATTTTTAGTACTGTTCACTATATTACTTGGTTCAGATTTGCAACTGAACAGCATGTAGTGAACGGGCACCAAGGCAGCATCTGAGTGCCAAAACATTTTAGAAAAAAACAGACACACCACAATACTAACCCATGGTCAGCGCGACCTGGCCAGTTTTGAGAAAGGGCCAATCTCCCTTTCCACTTCCAATATTCTCATATATGGAGAAATGAAAACTATTTTCTTAACATTGTATCATTTGTATTTATCTGAGCCCCAAAGTACTTTTCTTCAACCAAATCGTATTTATTTTAATCTCCAGACCATTTTCTTGAAACAAACGTCCTGTGTCCTTGGTAATAGTGTATTATTACAATGAGCTATGACATCATTACTTTTTAGTAATATATTTATTCTACTTTAGGTAAGAATCTTTGAAATTCATAAAATAAAATCTTACTAATTTGGACTTTAAAATTAAGCATCTTTTTCAGAAGAAGTAGGGACTGGGGTCATTTTTTGTCCTTTACAGCTTTTCCTGTGTTAACTATTCAGAATTTTCTAATTCTAAAGTATGATGAAATAGAATATTTAGTATTAAAAACAGCAACAGCAAAAATATCCAGTCTTTATCTTGGATTAGTATACACTCTCCCCAACCTGCCATACATTCTATATTTTTATACTTAGAATCCCTGCTTTGAATAGTGGCACTAAAATTCTGTGCAAGTTCTTTAAACAACATTCAAATAAATTCACAAATTCTTATAGTACTAAGGCAAGAAGTGAAAAAATACACATTTGTTTATTTAACAACAGGTCATTAAAACTTAAGTAAGGATTGAAGAAGAAAAAAGATCATTTGGGTTCTCAGATTAATTCTGAACATTCAACCAATAAAATCCTTGCATTCCTAAGGAATTATGACAAACTGAGATTTTGGTAAAAACACAAGATTCTGTGAAAACTTTTTTTCAAGGAGAAAAACTTTTTAAAAAGCATGTTTAGCACCAACAACTTAGAAACTATAAACACCGAAGATTACAATTTGCAAATGGAATATTTCTAAAGTCGGTAATGTAGAATTTGGAACATATTTTCCAAGTGCAACAATGCTTTATAAAACTATGGGTAACTTTCCAGAACAGATCAGACACCCTGTTTTTAAGCATGTTCTTAATATACCATCTATCTGCAATGAAAAATAACTAAACACAGTATAATTGCAATACTGACCATGAAAAACAAAAAGGAAAATACACAAAATTCTAAAACCATGACTGCAAAACATTAAAAAGAGACAATATGTAACTCAAAGGAGGCAACTAAGAGCCAAAACTCTTTGCAGTGTGAATTCAAAAAGATGGTTTGCAAAGGTGTTAAAAGGTATTAAAGCCAAGTTTTGATTGCCTGAAGGACACCCCACTCTCTCTCTCTCATACACTAAGGACATGTAAATTAGGCACTTTCAATCTGGAAGACAAATGCCACACTGAAGTAAAAAACACAAAACAGCCTGAAGAAGAGAGTGAGAGGGGACTGGAAGGTAACCTGAGCACTTTGAGAACACATAGGCCATCCTTAGCTCCAGAGGCCTGCGTAGTTCCCGTGGAGGCCTGAAGGGAGAGGCCCTCCAGCCACAAAGAGCTTCATCCCTTGCATTCCTAAAGAATTATGACAAACTGAGATTTTGGTAAAAACACAAGATTCTGTGAAAACTTTTTTTCAAGGAGAAAAACTTTTTAAAAAGCATGTTTAGCACCAACAACTTAGAAACTATAAACACCGAAGATTACAATTTGCAAATGGAATATTTCTAAAGTCGGTAATGTAGAATTTGGAACATATTTTCCAAGTGCAACAATGCTTTATAAAACTATGGGTAACTTTCCAGAACAGATCAGACACCCTGTTTTTAAGCATGTTCTTAATATACCATCTATCTGCAATGAAAAATAACTAAACACAGTATAATTGCAATACTGACCATGAAAAACAAAAAGGAAAATACACAAAATTCTAAAACCATGACTGCAAAACATTAAAAAGAGACAATATGTAACTCAAAGGAGGCAACTAAGAGCCAAAACTCTTTGCAGTGTGAATTCAAAAAGATGGTTTGCAAAGGTGTTAAAAGGTATTAAAGCCAAGTTTTGATTGCCTGAAGGACACCCCACTCTCTCTCTCTCATACACTAAGGACATGTAAATTAGGCACTTTCAATCTGGAAGACAAATGCCACACTGAAGTAAAAAACACAAAACAGCCTGAAGAAGAGAGTGAGAGGGGACTGGAAGGTAACCTGAGCACTTTGAGAACACATAGGCCATCCTTAGCTCCAGAGGCCTGCGTAGTTCCCGTGGAGGCCTGAAGGGAGAGGCCCTCCAGCCACGAAGAGTTTCATCTCAGGCCAGTTGTAGCAGTGAGTGTAGAGCGCGTTGGGGAAATCGTCGATATGATCGAAGTAGTTCACCCACAAGTCATTGTGATTGAGCCAGCCTCTGCCACAGGTGAGCTTTAGCTTTCTTCCTGAGGGCCCAGGACAGGAGTCCGTGCTTGCTGAGGCCCTCTCCTCCAGGAACTTCTGGGCACGGATGTCATAGAAGAGCAGGGAGCCATGGCCCGTGCCCACGGTGATGATGTACTGGTAGAAACTCAGCGAGCGCACGCCTTTGCCGCCCTCTCTGGAGCACAGTGGCCGGATTTTTTGTTGGCTTTGTCGTGGATCTAGGAAGGAGACATGGGACTGGGAGCCCACCGCGTACAGGGAGAACTCTTCGCAGTAGGTCAGGCACACATTCTCTCGGCAATAGGGCAGCCTGATGGACAGCAGCCTGGACAGAGTGCTCCGGGCTTTCCACAGGTGGAAGTAGCCGTCCAGTGACACAGCTCCGAGCTCCTGGTTCTTGCCGCTGAAGGCCAAGGCCCGCACCTTGCGGTTACTGGGGCTGGTGCTGGACCTGGGGATGGTCTCCATGTCCCTGGGACGGATGTGGGTGTACACAGGAAGCCCCGCATCATTGTGCCAGGCCATGCTGCCACTGAACATGTCGGGGTCCATCTGCCACAGAGCCACAGTGCCATCGCGGGAGCCGCTCACAACCACTGTATCGCTCATCCAGGCGATGGTAAAGATCCAGTCCTTATGGCCGTGGCGGTCGCCGAGGCACACGGGGTCTAGGGTGGGCAGCTGGTAGACGGCCAGGCTGTTGGGGTTCTCTCCTCCGGTGGCCAGTAGCGTCTTGGAGGGACTCAGCTCGATGGCGTGGATGCCGCAGCTTGGCTGGGCCCGGCCCAACCAGGACCCGCGGTCCCGCATCAGAGGGATGCGCGTGATCTGCCCCGAGTGCACGTCCACCACGAAGAGGGTGTTACACTTGGTGCCGCACACTACCTGCCTGGCATTCAGCCACTGCGACGCGAACACCTTGTTGAGGGTGCCCAGGGCCAGCTCGCGCTCCCGCAACAGTTCGGGCAGCTTCTGCACCGCGTAGCCCCGCAGTTCGCCCTTGGAGCCAGACAGCCAGGTGCCGCCCCGCGCGCCCACCTCGCGGTCCTTCAGGTAGTGTACCAGCGAGCGCCGCGTCGCCGGCCGCTTCTGCTTCTTGGGCGGCAGCGGCCCGTCTACGTCTGCCGCCACAGAGCCCTGAGACGACGAGCTCGCGGCTCCCGCCTCGATCGCGGGCGCTTTCCGCTTCCTGCTACCTGTTTGCTGCGGGGCCATGGTGGGCGGCGGGCCACTGGCGGCGGCGGCAGCAGTGGCGGCGGCGGCAGCAGTGGCGGCGGCGGCAGCAGTGGCAGCAGTGGCGGGGGCGGCGGCAGTGGCATCGGCGGCGCGGCGGCGACGGCGCCGACGGCGGCCGCAGCGGCCGTGGCGGCCGCGGCGCGAGGCACCCGTGTTGGCCGTGGCGGCGGGGTGAACAGCGGCGCCTCCGCGTCAGCCGGGAGCGCGTGCTCTCAGGGGCCAGGAGGCGGGCGCGACCGCAGGGTGCGGGGCTTACCGAGTCCACAACGCAAGGAAGGAGAAGGAGGTGAGGAGCGCGGACCGAGAAGAGCGGAGCGCGATCCTAGTGCGGCAGCTGCCGCGTGGATCTAGGCGAGGGCGGGAAGTGCGTCTGGCGGGGCAGCGGCAAAGCGACCGCGGACGAGGACCACGCAGCGGGGCCCCTCGTGAGGGGGCGGAGGCAGCGGTAGGCGTGGGCAAGGAGCAAGCAGGCGCAGTGGGAGGGACCGCTCGCCGTGTTGGGGGGAGGGGAGGCCCCGTGGGGCCGGGGCTATACTGAGGACCTGCGCTCCAGGATCCCCAAGCTGGCCGTGTGCGCCTGTCCGGACCTCCACTAAATGATACGGGATACTTCACTGCTCTCAGGGCAGCAGCTAGCCTGTCTTCTTAAAATCACTACTTAAAATTTGGAATCTAAAATATAGGCTACCACGGGGTTAGAAGGAGCCGGTACAACTGTCCGCAGAAGGAAACGAATATGCACTTGCTGCAATCCTGAGAGAAACTTGGCTATGATTAGACGTTGAATTTAGTGAGGGAATGTGTTTGGCAGCTACAGGCGGACCCCGCCTACTTACGTTCCTATTGCAGCCACTTCTCTCCCAGCGCCTCTGTAGTTACGTAAACAGTAAACACTATCCACTATATATATTTACATCATATATGTATATATTTACCTCATATATTGTAAAATATATACTTACTTTATTTATATAAGTATATATTTACTTATATATACATTTAATATATAAAATATATATACCTCATATAAATATTTCCACAGATAAATATATATTTACATCATATATAAAAATATGTATATTTACCTCATATTGATGGAAATACGTATATTTACCTCATTTGTATGGGTATATATATTTACCTCATATATATAAATATATATGTACCTCATATATATATTTACCTCGTATATATAAATATCTACCTCATATTTATAAATATATATTTACCTCATATGTATAAATATATATTTATCTCATATATAAATATATACATTTACCTCATATTATGTTTAAATACAAATGTGTATATATCTCATATATAAATATGGATATTTACATCGTGTAGATGTATATACGTATATATATATACACCTCATCTATATTAAAAAATATATATACCATATGTATGTACGCATATATAAAGAAATATATATTTACTTCATATATAAATAAACATATTTACCTCATATATAAAACAACATATATTTACCTCATGTATACATTTTTACCTCAATTATAAGTATATTTATATATTTACCTCATATATATATTTACTTCATATATGTAAAAAATATATGTGCCTCATATATAAAACAATATATATTAACCTCATATATATAAATACATATGTACATCATATATATTCGACATATGTACGACATGTAGATATATACAATATAAAAATAAATATTCAATGTATAAGCACATATATTTACCTTGTATAGATGTACATACATATTTACCTCATACATTAAAATATATGTATTTACCTCATATAAAAATATATGTATTTACCTGATCTATAAATATATATAACATCATATATAAATATATATTTACCTCATATATAAATATACATATATGTATCTTGTACAATAAATATCCTATATTTACATCTTATATATATAAATATGCATATATTTACCACGTGTATGCATAAATATGCATATATCACCTCTCATATATAAATATATGTATATTTACCTCTTATATATAAATATACATATATTTATCTCATATATATAAAAATGTTTACCTCAAATATATAAAATTTATTTACCTCATATATAAATATATATATTTTAACTCATATGTTTACTTCTTATATATAAAAAATATATATACCTCATATATACATATTTACCATATATAATTATATATTTACCTCATATATATAAATATGGATCTTTACCTCATGTAGATGTAAATACATATATTTACCTCATATATATAATATATATATAAAAACTTAGGTAAATATATATATTTGCCTTATATATATATATTTTTATTTACCTCATGTAAATATCTTATATATAAATACATTTAATTAATTCATATATAATATATATATTTAACTCATACATATACATATACATATATTTACCTCATATATAAACATACATATGTTTACATTGTACATATATATGTACCTTGCATATTTACATATATATTTACTTCTTATGTATAAATATACATTTACATCATATAAAAATATATCTATTTAACTCACATATATAAATACATATTCACATTATACATAAATACATATAAATTTACCTTGTATATAAATATATATTTACCTATTAACTGATTTATATATAAATATATATAAATTTGTATATATACCTCATATATATTTACCATATATAAATAATATTACCTGATATATATAAATATGTATATATACCTCATATAGATAAATATAAATTTTTACCTTTTATGTAAATATATATTTGCCTCATATAAATATTTGTCTTTGCCTCACATATAAAAATATATATTTACCTCATATAGATAAAAATATATTTTTTACCACATATATTAAAAATTATTTACCTCGCATAAACATACATATATTTACCTCATAATTAAGTGTATACGTATATGTTTACCTCCTATATATAAATATATATATATTTACCTCATATATAAATATAATTACCTCATTATATAACTATATACAGTTATTTATATATATACATATAGTTATATTTATAATTATTTTTTTCTTACCCTTCAGTTGAAGTGTTTGAGCTCCTGCACTGGCGTGCCTTGAGAGATGAATAACAAATGCAGGTCTCCAACTCCAAGATCCCCACCTTCTGGGAGATGTGATGTCAGGGACCCCTTAGGCACAACCTTGGGAATGTGGATGTACATGCTGATGCGGGAGGGGAAGTTCCTTGGATGTTTTGACTTCCATTGTGCCCTAGAGCCCTAAAGAGGTGAAGCGGGGAGGAGCACCTTCCTCCCTGCTCCTGGGTTCAGTTTCTGCTCTCAGTCCTTCAGGCTTAGGTGACTTTGGCATAGTTCCCTGGGGCCTAAAGAGAGGTCCTGAGGGATGGGCCAGATATTCACAGAGATGCAGATGAAGAACTTTCAGAAGGAGGCAACCAGAGCTACACATTGAAAGAGTGTAAAGATTCAGAGCACTGGCTTTGTCTCAGGAGTTGGATGTTAAATACCCTGCTCTATGGCTTCAGAGCAGTCAGGGCAGCCTAGTAGCAGGCTCTTAACCCAGGCAAACAGTTGTACAGTAATACCTGGGGCTGTGAGCCTGCTCATTGATACCAACTCTACACAGACCTCCCTCTCTTGACAGAAAACATGCAGGATGGGTGGTGGGTGGGTACATGGGAAGATGCGTTTACTTTTCTGACCAATCAGAGTAACCCATTGGGACTACTTTCATGCTGCTTGTTCCCCATTCCCCTGTCCTGTTTATTGATTTTTCTCCCTCCTTCCTCCACTGTTTTATGCACTGTTAGAGGAAGTGCCCAAATTTCAAATACAAACTACAGGCCCTTCCCACCACTCTAGTCTACATGTTACATTCCAGTGCTCTCCAACATTCTGCAGAGCCCCAGAGCTGATTCCTCCCCATCTCATTCATCCCATAGCAACAAAACTGGTTGCTTCACATCTGCTGTTGGTGGTGACCATGAAATTAGAGGTTTCATGGTGCAGGCTGCATTTTGTTTCCACAGGTGGGCATGGGGGAATGGACATTACAGAAAGAGGCAACCATATGTGACAAGGCACAGAGAATGTAGTGAAGAGGTTCACAAACTTTAGTGTACATTCAAGTCACAGAGGGCACCTTAATAAATATGCACATGCCTTGACCCTATCCTGAAAAATCTGATGCAGATGGTCTGTGAACCACTCTTTGAGAAACAGTGGTCTAGGCTGTTTTCACCCAGGTCAGGACAGGGTGTGTTGCAGGTAGGAGATTAACATTTTCAGTGTACTTCAGGGTTACCCTAAAAACGGACCCCTATCCAAGCAATTATTGTGAAAGCTTTAGCAATTAAAGTGGCTATGATCAGTTTGAAGCCAAATCAGAGGGTGGCCTAGGCAGAGAAATTATACCTATAAAGTATATAGAACTTATTATATTTGACTATATAACCTTACGCCTTTAATATATTATACTAACAAGCATTGTTGCAGCAGTTTTAAAATATTATCTTGTTTAATCCACTATTATAAGAGTGGTAGATTTTGTAGATGAGGAAAAGGAGGCTTGCAGGGGTTTTGATTTATTAAGTCAATGAATTAGCAAGTGATGGATGCAGGATTTTAACCCAAGTAGTCTGAATCCATATTCCATGTTCTTAATCACTTCTCAAGAGATTGGAGATGTCTCAGGGATTCAGTGAAAGATTCTGATAGTGACAGAAATTTTTAAAAAGATTTTTGCACCATCCAAAATGGTGAAATCTGGCTGTGGACATCTCTGGAAGTTGGACTCCATGGGTAAAGACCCTAGGAGCAGTTGTGGGAGATTTTGGGATTCAGCCTATGATCAGTGGCAAGGCTTGCTGAAAGGGGCAACTCTATAGCTCTTCTGACACAGCAGCCAGACAGACTAGCAAGGAACAGTTTAGATCATCCTGATATCATCTTGTAGTAAAATGAGCAATGAGGCTATCCATAGCAACCCTCAGTTCTCTATATTTGAGAGTCTCTTAT